GCAGGTGCACAGGTGCACCCACAGACAGGTAACTGCTGGCTAACGGTTAGTGACTGCTAACAGCACAGACGGAGCCCAGAGGCCGAGCTCGGAGGCTCAGATTAGCAGTTAGCATCCATTCTGTAAATAGTACAGAAAGTTAACGTGGAGTGGGGCGTGTAGCTCATTCTCACTGGTTTCACTGGGCTGATGTTGGGAAATGCTCAGATCAGACATCACCCTCCAGGACTGACATCAGTGTGATCTCCACTCGAGGCTCCTGAAGTGAGTCGGTCCTTTTGTTTAACTCGCCTGTTTGGATTTTCTTTAGGGTTAGAATTTGGGGGTGTGGCTTATTTAACAGGTGAGCCTGTAATTGAAGTTTGTGACCTGAACCTCTGGATCATGTTTGTGCAGTTTGGAGCTTTTTTAATGCAGTTAAAACATCTTTGTGGCTCAACTGAAGATATTAGTGCTGCTGGCATTAATTAGCAGGTATCTGTCGGAGACGCAGGTTTGCTTGAGTCGGAGCTGCTGGACACGCCCACTGAACAGCAGGTGTCGCACCTCTGACATGCTCTCGAATCCTCAGCCTCTCCCTCTGAGCACTGATGTATTTTCAACACGATGATTAAAACCTGACGCCATCGTTCACTCGTGTCCTTAACCGCCACACTGCAGCGACTTCTGAGCATGAGTAGAAGCGGCTTTGTGGTGCTGCGGTGGCGTGCGAAGCAACCACTGTGGAGGGCGCTCTGACTGTCCCAGCCGGGCTCTCCATCAGCGGCCGATCTGGTGCTAACGTTCATTTTTTCCAAAGGAACAAAACTAACGAGCCGAAACAAACGCGATCACCGGCGCGTCGTCACGCTGCAGACCGAGGGACTCGAACTCGTTTAAAGTCCAGATTGTTCCACTTTGTCCAGGTTCAGACGTTTATGTGCATGTTTACTAAACCAGTCGGTGATAAAAGTGACGGGACGCCGTCTCCGTGTGTCCACATTTAAACGAACGTCTACGCGCTGCCTTCAGAGACGACTGTACAGAAAAACAAAGACGGGCAGTTCTGATGTTTAATGTTTGATCTGTAGAGAAAAACCGTTTCTTTGTAGTTCAGTGGTTTGTGTGTTAGTTACTTTAGTGTAAGTAATCCAAGGCCGTGGGTGAGATCTTCATCAGAGGCTGATGAACTGATGAAGATTCAGGTGAAACTGATAGTTTAGGCTCTCGTGATGTGATCCATCCTAAAGATGTCCTGCAGCGTGTCGTAGAGTCGCTCTTGTGGTTGTTCTTGTGCTGAATTTGCTCCAAACGAATCCCAGGCCTCGTTCTCGATCAGTCTCCGATTCCTCTGGCCGTGTGACTCGCACACACCGCGACGTGAAAAGCGAGGTTCGGCGTCCGCCTCCAGCTGGACGTGACTCTGCTTTGTGACGCCGCCTCTGCTTCAGGTGCTTACGTGAAAACTAAGCCGGCCCGCTTTCCTTCAGCCAGGCACGTGACCGCAGCCGCCGGGCGAGCCTTTCAAATCTGGGCGGAGCCTCAGTTTCATGTCCGAGTGCTTTTTGACTCGGGTCGGGTTTTCCCAGCATCCTCAGCAGCGCGCTGAGGTTCCTCTGTTAATCAGGAAACAAGTCTTTTTTTGTATTTGACTTACGCACATTTAATCACAGTTTTCCCAGCATCCTCTCTGCCTCCTTTGAGGCGTTTTCTATCTTGTGTATACCACCTTTAACTTAAGGATGTAATCACAGCACTAACGAGCCGTCAGTGTTTCGAGCTGAAGCTGAGCTCAGTCTGAGGTCTCTGCTTTAATTCATCTCAGTTGGATTTTGACTGTTTGAATTTGAACAGCTTAAAAAAATCGTCAGATAATTCAGTGACTTGAGTTTTACTTTGAAAAACTCCTTCCTCTGCACTCTCCCTGATCCTTCCTCCTCCTCTTCCTCCACAATGTGAATCTTCTCTTGTGGGAATTCTGGTGCTCGGAAAGACCCCAAAGTCAGACCAACTCGTAGCAATACCAGCCTCCCCCCTCCTCCACCTCCCTTTTCTTCACCTGTAATTTATTACAAACGTCACAGAGAGCGGAGTGTCGTCTGTAGTCGTCGGGAGACTTCAGGGCCTCTGAAACCTGGTGCTTCACCGCAGGTTCCCACGTCG